TACCTGCGTCTAGTCTCATGTAACAAGTCAGAAGTCAGAGCCAAGGTCAAACTTTCAATACTAAATGCCGAAAGAAAAGAAGCCATTGCTACGGTGTGCCAGCATGCAAACCGATTCGTGCAAGGCCATTCGGTGGGCTACCCTAAATTCATCCCAAGAGACTTCCTGCTGGATGAAGCAAACGGTCTGTTGCCCGATGACAAGCTCACCATATTTTGCGAGGTGAGCGTAGTAGGGGATAGTGTAAACATCTCGGGACAGTCAAATGCGATACAGTTCGAAGTGCCGGAGTGTCGTCTCTCAGACGACCTCGGCTTGCTGTTTGAAAACCAGAAGTTCAGCGATGTGGCCTTGTCAGTAAGTGGACGGGAGTTCCAGGCCCATAAAGCGATATTAGCAGCTCGGAGTCCTGTGTTTGCAGCCATGTTCGAACATGAGATGGAAGAAAGGAAACATAACCGGGTTGAGATAACAGATATAGATCATGAGGTTCTGCGTGAAATGTTGCGCTTCATATACACAGGCAAAGCAACCAACCTTGAGAAGATGGCTGATGATTTGCTCGCTGCTGCCGACAAGTATGCACTAGAGAGGTTAAAAGTCATGTGTGAAGAAGCACTGTGCACGTACCTGTCGATAGACAATGTAACCGACATGTTGATGTTGGCAGACTTGCACAGTGCAGACCAGCTCAAGGCACAGGCCATCGCCTTCATTAACACGCGTCCTACAACAACAAAAAAATGGAAATTCAGCAGATGTTGGAACTTCTTTTCAAGAAAATGAGAGCTGGCGAAGGAGACCTACTTGGATTTATTTGTTGCGTGACACACAAAGTACGTAACAGTATGTTTGACGTTTCATTCAGTTTATTGTGTATTTTTGTACATACTACTTAGCAGTTTTCTTACTCAAAATTAAGGTATCATAATACTAGGCCTACAATAAGAATTAGTTTTAACTCTTGCAATTAACCAAAATATGTATTGAAATGAAACGATATTTAACTATCAAGTATTTAATTTTTTTCTGCAAAGAAGATCAAGCATTTAAATGTCAAAGATCATTGTGATGGATGAGCCTGCTTTTGAGAACAGAGTTTCTCAAAACATGGCGTAATACCATAAATGGCCACTCTGACTTCTTTAGCAGTATTTAGCCTTGACGGTTCTTTGACTTTATAGCTGCCAAAGCAGAAAAGCCTGTCTCGCAT